TTAGTTTAAAACCAGATTTATAATGTTACCAACTCACCTGTGAATCCATGAGGGCACAAACAGAAGAATCGACCCACTCTGTCAACACAGGTGGCTCCGTTTCTGCAGGGCTGTGAAGCACATTCGTTCACGTCTATCTGGCAGTGAGCGCCCTGGAAACCTGGCACGCAGAAGCAGGAGTAGCCGTCCCCACGGTTTTTGCATAGTGCCTGATTTTGGCACGGGTTTGGGGAGCAGGGGTCCACAGTTTGAGGCAGCTTTTCAGGGGACGTTCCTAGAGACATAGAAAACTTAGAAGTTCTTTGAGAAAAAAACACTTTTCCTAATGTTCTTTAAATAGCAAAATACACACTTTTTTAATGAGTGTGAATATAAACATTGTAAGAACTTAAATTGAGTCCCTTATATAATCCTAAAGATTTACTTGAAATCGCATGTGATAGATGGTGTTCTAAATCATCAATAATGAATCATCTAATGATCCTGACATCTTGAACGATCTTCTTTGATTTTTCTGTTTTTCCCTGTCAGACTGTTTCTATTTGAATAACCTGATTTTGCTTATTTAGAGTTTCAGAAAGGTTTTTTTTAACAATCCTGTCCTGATTTCAAACTTAAAATATCAGTTAAAGTGTTGAACTGTGAAAGGAAAACATGTGCTTTTATATTAGTAGAAACTGCTTTAGATCTACAAAATAGTTTTTCTACCTTTATGGTTTCTTCTGTAAAATAATCACAATCATTTTGTACCTATTTGATGTCTAACATAGCTAAACGGGCCTCTGGATCAAAGTATTTCCAGTGTTAAAATGACCCGGGGAAAGTCCAGCCCTATATCGAACCTATGGAAAGACTATCACAATGCTGTTCTCTGATACTCTATTTAGTCTGACTGAATCTGAGCTATACTGCAAAGAGAAAATACTGGATGTGCAGCTCTGGTAGAGACAGAGCCAAACTTGCAGCTACTCTTTCTTATGGAGGCCATCAAAGTTAGAAAATGTTTTAGACTAAAACTATGCAACAAACTGCCAAATGCAAAAACTGGCCAGAAGATAAGTGAAAAAGAATCGACAGGTTTTTATGGCTGCTGCTGATATTTATCATTTTTTAACATCAGTCTGATCGCAGATATGTGATGCTGATTTTTTGGGTAGATTTTTTTAAGCGAATTTTAGTATTACTTCCCCCTTTTATGTGATACAAAATTACACGATAATCAATTTTACACAAGCTTCAATTTAAACAAAAAGAAACTTTTATTGATCGAAGAAAACATTTCCAACGGATAGCATAGCATAGTTCAAAGCATGATTGCTAAATACACCAATAAATGGGGGAACACATGAACATGAATGTGAAAACATGACAATGAATCGGTCTAACTCCTGAAATGATCAATAGAACAATCTTGATACCTTGCATAAAATAATGAAAAAAGTAGAAAAATAGAATATCTGCTATGAAGATGCTTGTTTTTAAGATGAAAAGCACCTTTTGAAATAAACTTTAAGGAGGTATTAAACATACCTTTCATTCAAGCAATAATGTATTTATTAAAAAAATTGTTTTTTTTTGATTTTATATATTTTATTCTTAAATTGTGTTTAAATAAATAATTTTAAAAACTTTTTTGTGTTTAATACTCTATAAGCAGAGGGATGTCATTTGATTGACTAAATTAAACACTAAGGCTGCAGCTTTTACTCCAATGCCTGTAATTTATGGACTATAAAGGGACACAGAGACATAATGGGAATCTTCAGGTCTGGTGAAGTGTAGCTTTTTGTTAGATGGCAATCAGAGTCTAGCACTTCTCTAAGCACCCTCAAAGAAACACATGAATATTTAATGGAGAAAAGAAACACAGAAAAGTGTGCTTTGCACGACTAGTGCAAGAAGAAGCCTATAAGGGCATGAATTGTTGAGCTGTTCCAATAACTATAGAAACTAATTATCCTTCAAGAGAGCAATCAGTCTGAGAGACCTTTAAGATGTAGAACAGACAGACTGTAGAACATCTTCTCCATCTCAGACACCAATCATCTGACTTTAATGGAGGTCAATCAGTTTGAAAAACATCCAGCCTGCTCCTCTAGTAGCTGTGATACACGTCTAAAGAGTGTAATTCAAGATATGAAGGGGATTAAAAGCATACACAGCGATGCAGTGACTGTAAGCCTGTAATAGCCTTCATTACATCGGAGATCAGCTGCTGCATTCAGATCAGATAAAATTTACATTTAGTGCATAAGCACAGTAAGCCCTTGTATACACCCGTCATGCATGATGTTTAACTTATTCTTCAGCTGACAGTAGTGATCATCAGTATTCCTCTGAGACAGGGCTCAGTAAAATACAGCCCCTCCCACAGTGTGTAAGAGCTCCTTCATATGTAAATCATTCCTGGGCTCTTTTGTTTGGCCCTATCTAGAGGTCCTCAAATAGCCCATGTGGGGGACCTGATCGCCTCTGTTCTGATACACTTTGCTGCCGTTTGCCTGCCTGTTTCAGCACAGATAAGAAGATGGGTTATTATGAGATTTTTAGGAGGGAAATGGAACTATAAAAGAAAACATTTCTTTTGTTAAATCTCTTCTTGTCCCCTGAGTCTGCTGCCCCCCGACTGTTATATCATCTTTAGCTGCTCAGCTGTAGAAAATGGACAGAGATTATTCAAGCTAATGATCTCACCCTGCAAAAATGTTATTGAATTTCCAACCATGAACCGAACCAAATGCATAAAATCAGCCTAAGATAGGAAACTGAATTACATTTCTTACATTGTTATTTAGAAGTTATGACTTTAAAAGGGATTTTAATTGGTTAGGTTTATGCTCCATAGACAGAAGGGATAAAACCAAATAATCTGAACAAAGTAACAGCCTGTTGGTAGAGTGGTTAACAATATCCCAGTACTGTAGAATATATACAGCTATTCATTTCTTAAAAGTTGGGGGAAATAAAACTTTAGATTGTCATTATAATTTTAAAGATGTGAAGTTTGATATTTTTGAACTTGAATCATATTTTATTTTCTCATATTTTTGTCTTCCCTTTATATCAAGTGTATATTTGACAGTTTTTTTTTCTTCAAAGTCAGGAAATCCGAGGTTAGTTGTATTTTCTGCCAGGAGAACTTCTCTTTAATCCCCGTATGAAACTTTATAAATATAAAATGCATCTATATAATTAGAGCAAACGCAGATGCAAATACTTTAGCAGTGGATAACAATAACAATGTATCCTATTTGTTACATAACTATATATATATATATATATATATATATATATATATATATATTACAAAATAGGTATGATTCAGAGAGCAGGAATTAAAGTCACTTACCATCCAAAAGAAACAGCGAAGAGGTAAAAACTATCCAGGGAAAAATGTTAAAACTGCCACGACTTAAATGCATTTTCATTGCGTTGAACCATCCTGTTTGCTGCGGTGAAGTCCAGTCATGAGCGCATCTATCAGCTCCAGATCCACTTGATGCTCACTTCTGCTCTCATGCTGTTGGAGCCCAGCCTCCATCACACAGGACACAATTAAAGACTGAAGGGGCGCACGGCGAGACGCACGCACAAACACAGAGTAACCATGGAGACCGGCCATGTGGAGGGATGAATTCATTTATGGAGGGCCAACTCTGCCATATTTAAAAATAAATACATAAATAAATAAATGTTCAGTAAAGACACACCCCTTCCTCATTTGCATAATAAGGAAGAAATGCAGACAGAAATGTAAAAAAAAAACAGGTAATAAATAGCGTTGAAGAAATAAATAGGGTAAAATAAAATACAAAGGAAGAATAAAACAGACAAAAATATTATAACATGCACATAAATAAATACTTTAAATAATAATTAATAAATAAATAAAGTTGAAGATTATAACGGACAATAAATAAATATGGTAATTATTACAAAGGAGAATAAATGAAGAAGCTAATTAAAAGAGATTTATACATTTATGTCTCACTGTATAATTTAATTTCTACCTACATTTATTTTTTTATTGTATTTTTGGGGGCAATTAATTGTATGCTTTTTTATTTATTGAGCATTTATTTATTTATGTATTTATTTTTAAATATGGCAGGATTGGTCCTATGTTTCGCTTAGAAGATAAAAAATCGGAAGATAAAACCTGATAAAAAGTGCTAATATAAATGCTGTTTTCTCAACACTGGCAGCGTTAAGGCAATAATTATCTAAACAGATATCTTAACTGAAACACAACACTGATTTTATGTATTGAAAAAGTTTGATAGGTGTCTGTGGTCGCTGTGTGTAGGAAATGGGTCCATGATGGTGTGCTGCACATCGGCTCTAGTGCTCATTTTTAGTGTTGATGCAGCACAATAGTGAACAGATTATGTCTGTCTTATTTGGATTAGTTTAAATGTGTACTGTTTATTCTAAGGTGGTGGTTCTAGATCAAAGGGGAAAGAGTTTCTTTGTTGTTGTTTTTTTTTTATGGGGGCATAGAACAAAAGCATAACACAATAATACAAGGCAAGATTGCATTGTTTAATATATTAAGCAATGCAATATATATTTGCCACGACAAAGCCAAACTGATCTAACAGATGGAAACTGTGATCCTATCTAAATATGGCTCTCATTTCTAAATTGTTGTTAAAGTAATTGTAAAGACTGAATAGACTATTTACATTTGTAAATCATCTTATTCCATCTGGTTATTGTGTTTCCCGCTTGCATCAAGGGAAAATAAATGTATAAAAAAAAATAAATAAATAAAACGTTTATGTTGTGTTTGTTTTCAGTACAGGGGTCATGACAGGGGCCAGAACCAGTTCTACAGGAGTGATGGAATCTGTTGGCCTGTCTAGAGCGCTCATGCTAATGTGATGCAGATTCTATTTGAAACATAGTTGAGTTAAAATTAGAGCCTTATAAGAGAAACAACCTCATCAATGACCACACAAAGATTCCATTTATAGACTTATAAATATTTATTTGTCAAAAGTGAAACACCATCAAGGTTATGATGTACAGTTTTCTTTGAAACCATATTTAAAAACGTTTTCTCTATTATTTTAAGTATAACAGGTTGAATAAACAGTAAAATAGATAGTTGCTACTGTACGCTACATAAATAAATGAAGGAAGTTAAAGCTGTTCAAGATGACAGCCATACGGTATTTTACAGAATCCCACGGATAAGAAATGTTATGGATTATTTCGTTTGGTTTTAGTTAAACACATGAAATCCAGGGAAACCCATCTGAAAAAGACATTTTCATGCTAAGTTCACAAAAAGCATTCACTGTGGTTAGAAAGTGTTTTAAGTTTTTTTTCTGACAAATGTAAAAATAATAAATTTCATCTACGCCACTTTTGGAAAGAGATTACAGAGGTTTATATTTGCTAAAGACATGTATGTTTGCTAAACCCTTCTAAATAGATCTTAATGCTTGTTGCTGATTTCACAACTTTCAAGTCATGAAGGTTTATTGCTCCACCACAACAGCCATCCTGTACACAGAAGACCAATATCACAGGAAACAGCATTTTAAATGGCCAAAAAGAAGGTAAATAATAATAATTTTGAGTCAAAAATGTGCAAAAACTTTGTCTTAAAAGAAATTGCAAAAGTGTTTACATTTTATATAGTAAACAGATTAGGAGAGAAAGAAAAGTACAGAACTGTAGTGTGATAGAAATCCCATGTTTGCTTCACTACCTTTCAAAAAACGTGGGATTGAGAGATTATCTTTAGGTTAATATTAACAAACATTTTTTGCGTCTTTTTCAGATAAAGTAACTGAGTTGATTGTAAGCATATGTTGGGCTCAGGTTCTGTCATGTTTAGCTACATGTTAAAAAAGAATTAAAACACGTTTTCTTTTCTTTTCTGTAAAAAAAAAATAAAAGTTTATTATCGCTACATATTACAGGCCTTTCTCTACCAGAACCAAGGGGTTTGTGTTAGGGACCTTTCCAACACGCATACCTGGTTCTTTCTGGAACCTTCCTGAAGTATATGAAGTTCCTCAAAACCTTCAAGAAGATTACAAAATACTTGACTAGAAAGTTAGCACAGAACTTGCCAGGTACTTGCTCGGTACTTTCTAAGTTACCTGACTTTTAAAGGGACTGAGACTTTTCCCTAAACTCATTATTTACATTTAGGCTTACCAGGGTCTATTTAAGAGATTCTGCTGAAACTTTCTGTCAACTTTGCTAGAACCTGGAATTATCTTTTCAAGTATTTTCTGGGTACTTTCATCACAAGGTACTTTCATACAACTTACCAAAAGTGTTCAAAAGCTTTCTTGGGACATGCTGGTTGCATTCACAAAAATCAGAGAGTATTTTTTTGAGGAAATCTAACATCTGGTGAAGTCCAGGAAAGTTCCTGAAAGGTAGTTTCAGCTTCCTTAATGTTACAGAAAAATAATCTGTGACTCTCGGAGAAAAAAAAACTATCTTGGTGTAAGATCTGGGAAAGTAACCATTGAACTTCCAGGATATTACCAGGTAATTACATTTGAGTTGTAATGTCTTAATGCATGAAAAGCAACCTTTTATCTCAGGAAAGGTATAGGTTTGATTAAATAGTACTATTAAAAGGTTCTTTTTATTTTATCTCACTACATGTGTAGCATCTTTACATTTTACAAGTTGTTGACAATATTATTCAGATATATTGTTCTGCATAAAAACTGCTGAAAGAAGACTGGAAATGAAAAGCTAGGGTGTTGACTGAAGAACTTGCATAGAGGATTCCAATCCAGATGTATCCTGCTTTGCAACTAACTCATGCTTGCACAAATCCCCAAACTGTGCTGTTTGTCAGCCACTTAAAAAAAGATAGAAATGTCTGTCTTTTTTTAACCTATGCATAAATCAGATGACACTAAAGTTTGGTAGAAGACACATTTCACAGGAAATTCATACATAATTCTAGATAGCCCTCAGTGGATTTAGTCCCATTAACAGTCAGCAGGCTTACTGTTCATATAGTTGCATATCGGTACATTTGTCAGGATCAGTTTTTTTGACAATAATATTCAGGAACTTCTCTGTCCTTATTTATCATTCCCAGCTTTGGCTAGAATAATTCTCAGATAAATCCATCACAACCAAGATTGTCTACAAATGTGTTGCCTCCACAAACTCACTAGCATCTGCATTGAAAGCCAAAATTTACAATAGTGGTTGTGTCTTTTCAGTGGCGCTGGTGTAAAGAAAATAAATATGAGGTGGTCACACCTCAGTGCTGATGGCTCGGGTGTTGGTGTAGAACTCAGGAGGCCGACCTCCCTGGGCTTCCCTCAGCAAGGGGCCTCGGATGGCGGGCAGCGGCATTGCCAATGCCTGGTTCTCATAGTGTGTTGGCATGTAGGTGACGCGCTCCCCTCCATTACGCATAGCGTCAGTGGTACGGATGTAGAAGGGGGACTCGTACGGTGAGCAGGTGGGACAGTAGCGCCGATGTCCCACGGTCGGTTTGGTGGGGTTGAAGGACTTGGTCGGCTCTGGTGGGGACAGAGACAGAGGGGTGCTGATCGGTCCATCCAGTCCAGTGATGCTGCAGGCGTTGCAGGCAAAGTGTTGCTGAGAGAGGGAGCCGCTGTCAGATCCATTCTTCTTACAGCAGTAGTACTATAAACAAAAAAGTTTGTGATGAGTAAGGATAACAATACAGTCATTAAGCTTCACTGTGGTCAAGACTTCTTGATAGTTTATGGAGAAAACTTAATCCTAAAGCATCATGATGGAGATCTTTGCCCATTAACTTACCTTTTTTCACTAAGCATTCAGGTTTTTTCTATGTTAGTGGCAAAACAACAGCACTTGAGAAGTAGAAAACCGAGTCTTATACCAGCAAAGCAAGATGAATGGTAAAAACATCTTGAACCAGAATTTGAACAGGGATTTTGTGACGAGTTATTTTATTTCACTTTTTTTCTTCTTACTGATATTTACTCAAAAATCTGTGGGGATGTTTGTATTTATTTATCACTGTATATACAGTTTTGACCTATTTTGGATCAGAAAATGAAAAAAGGTAAAACTGTGGCATGTACTTGTCTTTTTTAAACAGGAAAAAAAATCATATCTCTACAATGCCTTCATCCTTTTTATTTCACTCCACTTTTGCACAGTTTGTTACTATCGTTTATCCTAGGACATTTATCTGGGTAAGACTTATTTAAAGTAGAGAACATTTTTTCAGACACAGGATGGATGGATGGATGGATGGATGGATGGATGGATGGATGGATGGATGGATGGATGGATGGATGGATGGATGGATGGATGGATGGATATGCATGCCCAATTATTACAAATCTACAGAATTTGTGCATCCATATTTCTGACAACCCAAATATACTGCTAATAAAATACAGGGAACACTCAAATAACTACATCTGAACAAATGAAATATTACTAATGAATGTGCTGCTGACAACAAAATCATACAAAAATCATCAATGGAAATCAAATGTATTAACCAATGGAGGCCTGGATTTTTAGTCACACACAATTACAGTGGATAAACACACAGGGACCTCCTCTAAGACTTGGTATAAAGCATCCTTTTACACCTGGACATTCTGTGGTGCAATGTAGCACTGGTGGAAAGATTGAAACAGGATGTTGCAGGCAGCAGATCACGCTCCACATTGTCTCCAGACACGGTCACATCTTTCACATATGCTCAGTGTGAACCGGCCTCATCTGTGAAAATCACAGGGTGCCAGTGTCGAATTTGTCAATCATAGTGTTTTATATCTGTCAAGACTCTCAGTCATCAAGGTCATGGTAAAGCTTAAAAACTTCAGTTTAGGCAACTGGACATGAAGTTTTCTCACTATATTTGTTGGTGGTGGGATTGGGAGGGAGGATGAGAGAACAGGGACATAACAGGACAACTCTAAAGAACAGTGGTTATCTCAGGTGGGCTTTTTTTTTTTTTTAAAACCAATAAGAGGCCAACTGAGAGGGAAGAAAGCAGAAGGAACGTCATTCATATGTTGCTGGAGTCTCTAAAAAACTCAGGAGAATTTTTAACCACGCCGGATCCCTTTGCACTTTAAACCCGGCAACATTCTGAGACAAAAATACCCCAAAGGCAAGACACCAAGAAACAAGGCCAACAATATGGTTTACACTGTTTAGTGCAATGAAAAGTGCACAGACCCGTACATTGGAGAGACCACACAACAGCTAAACAGGCGCATGGCTTAACATACTGTAGGAGGGCCAACTCCTCAGGATAGGACTCAGCTTTTCACCTACACCTGAAGGCTAAAAGACATTCGACTTCCATATTCTGGCGAAGGAAGAAAGATGGTTTGGAGAGAAGAGTTAAGGAAGCCATCTCTATAAAGCATTACATACAAAGCACTTTTAGGAGCAATATCCCGATGATTCACCTGTCACCTGCCCTCACCTGATTCACACTCCAATAAGGCGTATGACTCTGACACTCTGACGAGGGCGTTAAGGATCCATCATAACCCCTTAACGACCATTAACAACCCCAAGGTAACCTCCTTGGCCAACCCAGTAGGATTCTTTGTTATATCTACAGTATGTTAATCTCAGTGCTCCCCACCACTAGTTAGAACTGTCTAACACTGTGGGATGAGAGGCGAAACGCATTCTAGAGGATTTCACTTTCAGTTGCCTAAGCTGAACTTTTTAAGCCCAATCCTGGTATTCTCTACTCAGAAGTGGTCCGTGGTCACCACCTGCAGAACCGCTCCTTTATTAAGTGTGTCTTGCTTATTGACAATAATTTCCACCTGTTTGCACAACAGCATGTGAATTTAATTGTCAGTTATTCTTACAGTTTGATTCACAGAAGTTTGATCTGATTGAAGTTTTATCGTGCTGGTTACTTGTTCCCTTTATCTTTTGGAGCATTGAATATACACACAAACAGCTTAGGAGGTTTTGCCTTTTATTTGGCTAAATAAAACAATTGATTGATGTAAAAATATGACCCAAATTAAAAGTGGATGCCTCACAATGAAAAACATATGCAAAAACTTCAATTATTTTTCTGATTGAATAAGAGATATGCAAATTATTTTATTCAAAAAAGCTTTAAAAGATCTGTTTGTTTAATTGGAATATTTAAATAAGTTACTTTTCAATAATATTTCAATCAATCAAATATGTACAAGTGTAGATACAACACATTTAAAAAAAATGAACACCTCTATAGTTTTATTGAATTGTTTTAACTTCTCTTCAGCCTCTGATGTGACTTAAATCCAGGTCGCCTCTAATGTGAAATTATTGTCGCACATGTATAACAGGTCAAAACAGGAGCAATTCATTGATCAATTGTTTTACAGTGTGATTAACATCTGGCGACATCCTACCTGGAGTCTACAGTAGCAGAGCACGGCTATGATACACAGCAGTATCACTGTGGCCAGTATTCCTCCAGTTATGACAACAGTTCCAGCTGTCATCCGACCAGCTCTCCATCAAACCCTGGACACAAACACAGACATCATCAAAAGGCAAACAGCAAGTATACAATCCTCTGAATAAAATCAAATGTATACAAATGCTTACTCTATATTTGCTGAATATCCTATTAAGTAATGTTTTTTTTTAGATGCATGGAGCCTTTTTCCAAGAAAAGAAGTATTTTTTTTATACATAACTTTAATTTTGCTAAAAGATTTTTCTCATATCTTTTAATGTCATACACAGGCTTCACGCATAATTCTAGCTGCATATTGGACCACCATGGATAATTTGTTGGTATGGGACTTTTTTAAAAAGTCCAGATATTTCAAGAGTTTCAAATGATTTATACGTTTAAGATTATAAAATGTTAAGTTCATTATAGATGTAAAAAATTAGTATTATAATTTTGTGATATAATTTCATAACCTTTGCTTTTTTTTTTTACCTAAAACCCACCATTCTGAGCTACTTGGATCAAGTTTATAATCTAAGTAAAACTATCCCTCAGAGGAAAGGAAAATGAGAAAGAATGTTGAAGAAGATTCGAGGAATGATCAAATGTCGACCCTTGCATCAACTGGAAGATAGTTAAATGTTTTTTTTTTTATCTTAAATGCAAAATGTTTACCGGTATATATATATATATATATATATATATATATATATATATATATATATATATATATATATATATATATATATATAT